TGGACCATAATCCTCCTATTTGGGCTTCCTTGCATTGCTGACCTGACAGGCACATGCCACCAAAATCAGCCATTGATTGAGATGGAATTTCTTGAGTTGTTTTGCCTGGGCTGGCCTCAATGAGACCCCACAGTCTCTGCCTCTCAAGCATTATGGTGTGTGTGTGTGTGTGTGTGTGTGTGTGTGTGTGTGTGTGTGTGCATGCGCGCATGCATGTGTGCGCACACGTGCATGCCAGGCGCACACGTGCATGACAGTTCTGGGACTTGAACTCGGGGCTTAGGTACTGTCTCTTTTTTGCTCAAGGCTAGTGTTCTACCACTTGAACTACAGCTCCACTTTTGGCTTTTTGGTGGTTAATTGGAGATGAGAATCTCATGGACTTTTCTGCCCGGGCTGGCTTCGAACCACAATCCTCAGATCTCAGCCTCCTAAGTAGGTAGGATTACAAGTGTGAGCCACTGGTGCCTGTCTTATGGGGTGATTTTCTTGTGTGTGTATGCTAGTCCTGGGGCTGTCCAAGCACTGTCCCTGAATTTTAGTGCTCAAAGCTAGCACTCTACCACTTGAGCCATAGTCTCACAGACTTTGCTGCACAGGCTGACTTTGAACCACCATCCTCAGATCTCAGCCTCTTGAGTACCTAGGATTACAGGTGTGATGTACCTGTACACAGCCATTATGTGGTGATTTTTAGTGTTAGTTTCTGTGGGTTTTAAAAAAAGTGACTTGAGATTAACCAAATGCCATCACTCCCACCATCTTTCTATAACCTTCTAGTATTTGGTCTTATTTTAATTTAGAGCTCTAATTAATCTGGAAATTAATAAGCACTCTGAAGGAAGGTTATCTTTTGATTTTTTCCTCAAGTATATGGTCCCATCATCATTTGTTGAGTTTGCCATTTGTTGTTTCCCTGTCTGCCTGGATGCAATTCCAAGTTCTCTTTTGTTCCTTCCTTCCTTCGATTTGTCTATTCCTTACTGATATCACAGGGATCAAAGGAACTACCTGTGCAAGAAGCTTTTCTAGGCATTGTAACAGCAGGTTTATAGGCCCTTGAAGAAGGACTTACCCTGAAGGAGCAGAAAGAAGGCCAGTTCAGTATGGGTTTGGTACTGCAATGGTAGCGGGTGAGAGAAAAGCTTATGACACTAACAATGTAGAATTAGGGTTTACGGTGAATACAATAGCCTTATGAAGGATTTTAGAAAGGAATATCAGGAACTTTAGCTGTTTTTCCATTCCCTTTTGAATGGCTATATGTAGTATATATGTGGTTGGACAAATCACTTTCAGATTAGCTGTTTTCTTCTTGGCACTACAAATATGTTTTTGTTATTGTCTTTAATGAGTGTTTTGGGTTTTTTTGTTTTGTTTTGTGGTGATGTTTTTTTGTTTTTTTAGTGGTGATGGGAATGGAAGTCTGAGCCTAGCACATACACCACTGGTGTATGTCCCTAGCCCTTGGTTGAGACAAGGTCTCACTGTGTAACTGAGACTTGAACTTGCAGTGTTTTTGACATAGCCTCCTGAGTGCTGTTAGTACATCTTTTGCCTAGAGAATACATTTCTGTCTGATTAAAAAGCTATAAAATGGTGGCTCATGCCTATAATCCTAGCTACTCAGGAGGCTGTGAATAAATTTTCATCATCCCTTTTTTCCTTAGTCATGGGGCTTGAACTCTGGGCATGGGCGCTGTCCCTGAGCTCTTCAGCTCAAGGCAAGTGCTCTACCACTTGAGCCACAGTGTCACTTCCACTTTTCTGGTGGTTCATTGGAGATAAGAGTCTCACAGACTTTCCTGCCTGGGCTGGCTTTGAACCGCAATCCTCAGATCTTAGCCTCTTGAGTAGCTAGGATTAGAGGTATGAGCCACCAGCACTGAGTAGCTAGGATTACTTGCATGAGCCACCAGCAATCATCCCTTATTTTATAGAGGCAGAAACTGATGCATTGATAAGTTAACTTATTTACCTATCATTACTTAGAGATTAAGTTTCACAGTTAAATCCTGAATTTGGGGCATGTAGAAGTTTAATAAGTATACTCTGATTTCTTTAATAATGAATTGTGGTTCAAAGCCAGCTCAGTCAGGAAAGACCATGAGACACTTACCTCCAGTTAACCAGCAAAAAGCCCAAAGTGGAAGTGTAGCTTATATGGTAGAGTACTGACTTTGAGTGAAAAAAGCTAAGAGACAGTGTACAAGCCCTGAGTTCAGGCCCTAGTAATAGCACACAAAGAAGAAATACAAAAGAACTGTTGAGGCATTTTCTGATATTACAGCTGAATAACACAGACTGAATAATTTGTAAAGAATAGAGGTTTATTTGGCACATGATTCTAGAGGCTGAGAATTCCAAGAGAATAGTGATGGCATCTGGGGAGGAATGTGGATTGAGTCATAACATGATCAGACAAAGCAAAACATGCTAGCTAGCTTGTGTCTTCCTCTTATAAAACCACTAATGCCATCATGAGGACCTCATCTTTTTGACATCATCTGAGCTACCTATCTTCTAAGGGTTACCTCCAAATACCTTTAACACATGAATTTGTTTTGTTTTGTTTTTTGATCATGAGGCTTGAACTCTGGGCCTGAGTACTCTCCCTCAGCTCTTCGGCTCAAGGCTAGTGAGCACATTAATTTAATGTTTAATTTTCCTATATAAATTCTGGGAGACAAACATTAAAACCATGGCAATAAAAAGCCTACTCACTAGCACAATGCATCTTCCTTTTAAGTAGTTATTTATTCATTTCTTGATATTCTTCACAGAAATTTTATACATGCATAGACAAATAAGACTGTCTCCCCCTCATTTTACACATTTGATGACAATACTGTACACACTGTTGTGCTTTATGTCTTCTTTATTTCACGGTGTATATTGGAGATCTTTGGATAGTAGGATGAAGAGACCACCTAATTATTTTTCATCTTTTGTGGCTGTATTGTCTAGATATGTCAAAATATGCTTAACAGGGCATTATTGATAGATATTTGGGTTTTGTGGGGCTTTCCCCCCTTGGTACTGTAGTTTGAACTTGGAGCTTCATGCTTGCTCACTCTACCACTTGAGCCACTCCTCCAGCTCTCAGCTCTTGTTTTGATATAGCAGATGGTACAGCAAGGCATCTAGTTTGTGTGGATTCTACATAAGCATGTATGTGGCATTTGTACTTATATTGTATTTATTATTTATATTGTACTTATGTATTGTCCTCCAGAGAAAATATAAGTTTTCTTGCCAACATTTTAATTCCTGTATTGCCATCATCATGGCATGGTGATGTATTTCAAACTTTTTAATCCTATGTCAATTTGAAAGTAAATAATATTTTTTAAGTTTTATTTTCGATTTGTGTTACTATTATTGGCTGAAGGTAAGTATCATTTTATAATGTTTGTGAGTTATTTGTATCTCTCTTTGTGAGAATGAAATCTGGGGTCAGAATGAAATCTACTACTGAGCCATCCTCTTAGGCCTTATATTTCTTCACTATCAACTCTGCTCATATCCTTTGTCTAGTTTTCTATTGGAATACAGACTACTGGCCTTTTGCTTAAAAATTTGTGGTATTCTACATATTAGGAAAAGTAATTACGTTTTTCCTAATCATAGTTTATCTTCTGACTTTGTTCTGGGTTTTGTGTTCTAGAAAGAAAGATCATTTTTATTCCAGTGTTACAAAATAATTTATCTCTGCCTTGGCCTAGTACTTTGATGATGTCATTCTTTCCATGTAAGTATCTGATCCATTTAGAATTCATCATCACATGAAGTGTGATATTGGCTCTATCTGTACTAGGGAGCTCCCTGTTGTCTCAGTCTTATTTATGGAATATTCCTGACCCATTGGGCTGATGGAATGTGGTGTGAGGGAAAGAGAAGCCAAGGAAGATGACATTTAGGATTTGGGCCATCGGGTGGATAGCTGAAGGATCTATTGGGGCTGGAGGTGGATGGAGAGAACTGGGTTTTCGAGTTAACTTAGAATTGTGTTTTAGGCATGTCAATCTTGAGATACGTTTTCAAGTGGAGAGGTTCAGAAAGTTGTGTTTGAGGAAACAACTATCAGAGCAGAATCTTTGGTGCACTGGGGTTGAAAGAATGATGAAGGTTGTTCATCATCATTGAAATGTCTTTAAGTGTATTCTGTGTTTTATTTGTAAAAAATAACTAATGTGTAGAAAAATGACTGGAAAATAAATCATAAGAAACAACAATTGACCTCCAGGAATGCGATTTGGGGTCCAGAATTAGAGATATATTTTTGCTTACTTTTATTCAGTCAGCAAATACATGTTTAGCACCTTCTTTGTGCCTAGAATTGTTCATGTCTGTTTCTGTGTCCCTGAATATTGGCAGTTTTAACAGCAAATCTTTAGAATTCCAGATGTATCACCTTGCCTTTGCTCCTGTGGAATGTAGTCAGGAGTAAGTTAACTGTTTTTTTTTTATCTAATCAAATAAAGATAATAAAAAATATCTTGAAAGATTTAAAAATTAATAATACATCTAAAGCTCCAGAATAACTGTTGATTTATATATACTGTGTAGTGTGATGGATGTAGTAGAAAGATAGGATTTAAACATATTGGTTCTTATCCTGACTCATTTATTTTTGTCTGATTCTTTCATTTATTTTCAAGCTGTGTAAGTATAGGTAACCACACCTCTCTGTGCCTCCATTCTCTTTAACTGTAAAGAAAGTAACGTTTGACTTTCTAGGGTTGTTAGGAGGATTAACTATATAATGTACATATATACTCTCTGACAGCCAGCAAATTTTCCGTAAAAGGCCAAATAGTAAATATTTTTGGTTTTGCAGACCACATGGCATTTGTTCCAACTATCATCTCTTGTCACTGTAGCAGGAAAGCATAAAGCAGAAGGCTGGATTTAGCCTGACTGCTGTAGTTTACAGATACTTTGTAATCTATAAAGCACTGTCTAAATGAGTAATTCTCATGACTTTTTCTCTTCTTCAGGCTAATGTAATGCTTGAATATGACATTGATGAAGCTCAGGCATTGTTGGAAAAGAATTTATCTACTGCTACAAAGAATCTTGATTCTCTTGAGGAAGACCTTGACTTTCTTCGAGATCAGTTTACTACTACTGAAGTCAGTATCCTTTGAAAGAAAAAGGAAGAAAGCAGAAATATTTTTAAGCATAAGTGATTTTATTGTCTAATGGAAAGAAGGACTTTACTCTTACTCTTGGGTTTTGTAAGTTTTGTAAGATATTAAATAACAATTTTTTGAGAGAGTATTATGTACCATGTGGCAAGGCTAGCCAGGAACCTAGTATTTTGGCCTTGAACTTGCGACCCTCTTGCCACTGTGCATTGCTTAATAAATATTTGAAAGCAGTACTTAAGTGGTTTATGGATAGATTAATGAATTTTAAATGCGGAGATGTAGAAACTACACTTTCACATTGGTAAATAAGTGGGTTTTTCAAATATTTTCTCAAGATAACTGTATAGCTAATTATTTAATTCCATAAGCATTTATTGAGCCTTTTGTGTTCCTGCATATGGGGTATGCAAATTACTAGGGGGAAAAAGAATGGCAAAGTCTTTCTCTGTTAAACCTATACAAGTAAAATAGCCAAGTGATAGCTTCATAGCAAATGGTAAGTTCACGTATACAGTACCAGGCAGTTTAAAGTTTCTGAGCCTTTCAAGGTACTTTATTCTTCCGTACTTACTGCTCTTGCACAAAGTACTTTGTATTTTTTCCCTAATTGCGAGCTCTTCAAGTATAGGAGCTGTAGCATGGTTAGTGCTAGAGTGAGGGAAGGTATCTCTGTTTATGCAGTGACTATTCTGCTGTGAAATGACAAAGACTTAAAAAGACTGGTACTTGTGGAAAGAAAAAGATGGTAAATGTGAGAGAGAAACAAGATCCAGTGTCGTAGTTATAAGAACCCAAAGAAAAGAAATAATCTGAGTCCTCTAAGCTTAGAGAAATGCCATTCATTATTAATGTACAGACATGTGGGAGAGAGTTCTGCCATCTAAGCTACATGAAGGACCTGACCATACTTATCTTATTTAAGGCTTTATAGAATTTCTAAACCAAAGGAAGGGTAAGAGATAAAATTATTGATAATTGTACTAATTTTAAATATTGGAGGATATGAGTTGGGTTATTGATTTCTTGGATGAAGGCCTGTCTTTTAAAACTAAGCTCAACACAGTCACATGAACCGTAGTCCAGCTACTTAGAAAGCTGAGACAAGAGGATCACTTGAGTCCAGGAGTACAAGGCAAGTTTAGGCAGCAGAGTAAGACTTTGACACTAAAGAATATTGAGAGTATCTAGGACATTTATTAAATGTAATACTATAGTTGACTTGATATGCTGAACAGCTGTGGATTGGAGGTATTGTCTTGGTTTTGGTAAAAGTTAATTCATGTATTTTCTTAGCAGTTAATACATTAGTATAAGCAGTACGGCTGTTAACACTAGTTTTTTGCCTATATTTATATATGTGTGATTTCTGTGTCTTTGATTCAGTAAACAAATTGTATGAGTAAATAGCCATTTCATATATTACTTTGAGAATTATATTTGTGTTTTCTTTGACAATTCTTACAGATATGGCCAGGGTTTATAATTGGGATGTAAAAAGAAGAAACAAAGATGATTCTACCAAGAGCAAAGCATAATGCTGACAACAAAAAATGTGATTCAGTTTTCCAAACATGTTGTTTTAAATATATGTGTTTTTCCTTTAAAGGTTGACATTAGTTTTATTTTTTAACAAGAATGATTAAAATTTAAGATAAACACCCATTTTATTTATTTATAAACAAAATTTATTTCAAATAGTACAGAAAATTATTTCATACTTCCCAACGAAATTAATGCTGTTTTTTTATCTTTTTTTTTTTTTTTTTTGGTGTATCAAACGACAACTCAACTGAAATGGCCGGAACTGTGAAGTATGCTATGGAAGGCTGAATGCTGGGCACTAGCAGTTTACTTTTCTTTATTAATCGACGTTACTCTCATTTGATATGGTTAACTATTTTAGAGTTAGGAACTACAGTTTCATTATTTGTAAACTTGTTTTTCTTTAATACTTATAGGACATTATGTTGCTTTCTGTTGTGTTGTCAATTGTATAAATGGGATTTCATGAGTTACCACCTAACCAATAACTACTATTGAGACAACACTTTTAACCCCACATAAGTGCGTAATGTCTTTTTGATGCCAATATAAGGGAGATCTTGGCCAATGGGAGATACTACACATTTGAAATGCATAGCTGATTCTGTATTTTTTACAAAACCATTCTCCAAAGCATCTTGAACAGGAATATTTGGATAAATGTAAATCTGAAATGGTTAAAAAGAATTGTGAGCTTTTTCATTCATAAATCTGCATAGGAATAAAAAAAATTTCTGTGGAAAGCCATTTATACTGTGGCAAAAGTATTGGATGATATCAATTCTGGTAAAAACACAAATGTGTTACTCTATCTCCATGTAATAAAAAGTATACTAGTACAATATTTTTGTACTTGTATTTCCTGTTATTAAAGCAATGATATTGAAACTGTGGTATGACACTTTTTCATGTTATTTTTTTGTGTTTGTCTTTAATCTGTTTGGGCTGCTATGACAGAATGCCATAGACATAGCTTATAAACAGTAGATATTTATTTGTCTTAGTTTTGGAGGCTATGATCAAGGTGCTAGCAGGTTCCATGCTTGGGGAAGGCTTCTTCCATCACTATGTCCTCTTATGATTGATCAAGATGAGGAAACACCCTTGGGCCTCTTCTATAAGGGCACAAATCCCATTCATGAGGACAGATCCCTCATGGTCCGCCTATATTGTAAAGGTCCTGATGCCAGTATTTTTATAACGTTTTTAAGCATTTTGAAGTATTGTTCTATTTTTTTTTATTTTGGCAAATGTATTGGTACAAAATGTCCCTGTTAATATTTGAACAGGAGTGATTTTTCTCCTCATTGAACATCTTACTTGTTTTTACCACAAAGATTTAAATATGAATTTTAAGTAATATAAGAGATGAAGAAACAAGCTTTTTATCAGTATGAATGCTATTGCAGACTGAGGCCAGCTCCAGAAGCAAAATTTGTGAGCCCACTTCTCAACAGAAAAGTGGGTATGGTAATATGAGCCTATCATGCTAAGTTACATGGGAGAATTCCATTTCTAGTTTATTGAAGCTCTCATATATGATTTGTGTCTTGTGTCTTCCTATAAAGAATTGTTTTCTATTTTTTATGACATTTTGATTATATCTTAGTATAGCCTGGTTTGGATTGGATCTTATTGGAGATCTTGGACCTTCCTATACCTGGGTATTTTTTAAAATCATTTCACAGATATGGAAAGTTTTCTGATATTTTTAAAAAATAATTCTCCTTTATGTATCTTTTTCTCATTTCTAATGCCTATAAATATGTAAATTATCTATTTTGAGAAATTCATAAATCCTGTAAGCTGTTAACGTTCCTTTCATTGTTTCCTCCATTGTTTTCTATGAACCTTTATTTTTAATTTCACAGATTATTTCTTTTCCTTCATCAGTTTGCTGTTGAGTTTTGCTACTGAAATTTTAATTTTACTTTGTATTTTTTCAGCTCCAGAATGTTTTAAGTTTTGTAAAAATTAATATCAGTCTCTTAAATTTCTCATTTTAGTCATTTTTTTCTGAATTTTGTTTAATTTCTTTGCATCTTAACATTTACTGAGCTTTCTTAAAACAATTTTGAATTTTTCTTGTTAGGAATTTTATTCATCTCCATTGTAGCATAGGTCAGCTCAGAAAGTACTGTGTTCTTCTGGTGATGTTATATCTCCTTGTTTTTTTCACGTTCTTCTCTTCTGTTCATACGTATGCATTTGATGGGCCAGTCACCACTGCAGAAAGACTTTGTCTTGTGGGGTTGTGAGACATGAGAGCACTCACAGCTTTATCTGGCACCAGTGAGAGTAGAGCTCTAATACTGAGGTCATTGTTGATGAATATTTTAGCAGTCCCTAATGACCAACACTGAGGATTTCCTCAGTGGTTACATGGGTTGTTGTGGCCCTCAGTGGTGATCGATGCCAAAGATCCTTTGATGTCTTTTGAAAGAAATTTTAATTGAGCTTAGAATCTATCTAAGCTCAATGTATCTAATTCTCAATTATAATAAAGCTGTAGGTTTCAGTACCAGAGTAAAGTGGCAATGCTAGATTTTCTGTATCTTGTGTCTGAAAGATAGACACCAGTTATTGGCTAAAATGTGCTGTGATTACCTTTGTCTCCATTTAGTTCTTAGGTACTGTTTTACCTGAGAGAAGGCCAAGTTCTAGGAAAAATATTTTTTTTTCTTAGAGAAAGAGAGGAGAAGTCTCAAAAGAATGATGGTCTTGAAGACTAGAATAAAACATAACAAAAAGAAAAACAGAGCAAGGAAATCTGTGTCTAGAGGTAAACATAGGAGAGGTAGAAACATAAGCTGGGAACTCTCCTAGAATCCTTTCCATTCTTCTCTGGTCCCTATCAAAACTTTCTCCTGTGTGTCCAGTAATTTTTCTACCATCACCCCTATCCTCTGCCTGTCCTGTTTCCTGCTGTTTAAAGTTGTATTAGGAATTTCTGAAAGTCGTGCCCAAACTGCTTCACAGAGAAATCCAGATAACTATTATAGGGACACTGCTTACCCATTCCATTGGCCAAAGAAAGGAATATTCTAAGAGCAGATTACAGAGTATGATCAAAGCATATGTGTGCAACTCAGATGTTTGGTGTGTGTCTGTGTGTGTTATAAGACAGAATTATTTGGATTCTTAAGCCAGACGCTGGTGGCTCATGCCTGTAATCCTAGCTATTCAAGAAGCTGAGATCTGGGGATAGTGGTTCAAAACTAACTCAGACAGAAAAGTCCATGAGAATCTTAACCAATTAACCACCCAAAAGACAGAAGTGGAGATGTAGCTCAAATGGTAAAGCTTAGCCTTGAGCAAAGAAGTTCAGAGACAGCACCCAGGCCCTGAATATAAGCTCCAAAACCAGTACACACACAATTCAGATTTTTGTTGAGTAATGACAAGATCCCTTTTTTTTTTTTGTCAGTTGTGGGGCCTGAACTCTGGGCCTGGGCGCTGTCCCTTATCTCTTCAGCTCAAGTCTAGCGCTCTACCACTTGAGCCACAGTGCCACCTCCTGCTTTTTCTGCTTATGTGGTGCTGAAGAATCGAACCCAGTGCCTCATGCATTCAAGGCAAACACTCTACCACTGAGCTACCTTCCCAGCCCCTAGAAATTTTAAGTGCTTAAAAAGTGGCATCTGAGTGAGCATAGGAGGCCCTGAGTTCAATCGCCAGTAACCACATACACAAAAAAACACACACAAATTTTAAGGCAGATGCTGCTGGTAGCTCTTGCTTGTAATCCTACCTTCTTAAGGGGCCAAAACCATGGTTCAAAGTGACCCTGGGCAGAAAAGCTTATGAGAGTCAAATACTGGACTCAAAATACTGAACTGGAGGTATGGCCAGTACAGGCATATATGTGCATGGGTACATGAGCACACAGATGAAAGAAAAAAAGTGATATGTCTCAATATTGTACTTTTTCTCTTGTATTAATTATTGGTGACTTCAGTATTCATGTGCATTCTTCAAACAGCTTGGCCTCTCCTTGCAGTAATGTCCTCTTTTCCCTATCCCTTAACCACTTATTCCCACGTCACATCTGAGATCTTGTCACTAGCAATCACTGCAGCTCCTTCCTGATATCAGCCTCAGTCCACTTTACTTTCTGACCATCACCTCTTCCCTTTGCAGGGTTTTATTTCTCCATATGTCCGCACTTCCGTAGTTCAACTGGTCACTTCCTTGCAGTGTTCTGAATACCCTTGTCCCCATTCAGATTTAGTGTGCTGACTTTACAAAATCACTACCTATGCTCAGTACAATTCCTAGTCAGATTAATGTGGTTAAAATACTCCCACTGCAACTGGATGGTGATGCTGTGCAGTCATCGATTCAATCCCCTTGTAGGCAGTGATATTTTGTACCCTCTTCCCTGGCCCTAAAGTCTGCTCCTCCTGTTCTTGCTTCTTAGTTTACAATGGGATTGAAGCCACTGGAAGAATCTATGCATTCCATCAATAACTACCAACCATGTGATAAAGAGCATTCATAGTATCCAATATCATCATAATAGAAGCTGTGTTTGGTTCAGGAGGTTTTTATTTATTTTTATTATTTTTGCCAGGCCTGGGGCTTGAACTCAGGGCCTGAGCACTGTCCCTGAGCTGTTTTTGCTTCCAGCTTTTTTTGTTTATGTGGTACTGAGAACACAGGGCTTCATGCATGCTAGGCAAGCATTCTGTCACTAAGCCACATTCACAGCCAGAATTTTTATTTTTTTATTGTTATTAATAGTTGTAGAGAGGGTTACAGTTCCTGAAGTCAGGTTATAGGTACAGTGCTTCTTGGTCCCTTGTGCTCCCCCATTTCCCCCCTCCTGTTCTTACCTACGAGATACATAGTTCATTTTTTATATAGTGTACATTGAATACAATGGTTGCATTTGCTCACCCTTTCTCCATTCCTGTGTCAGGAGCATTTTTAGGCAAGGTAAAACCTCACCTCAGCTGTTTGGCTGGCAGCAGGAACTCCTGCAGCTCAACTCTGTACTTGTTCCACAGACTCTACTCCATCTTCCTCATCTCAGCTCCCAGCTGTCCTAACCAAAGCATTATTTCCAGAGCAATATGTGTTGTACTTCTAACATTCCCTGATGAAACCTTCTTTCAGCTAACTTCTGGCCTGGACAGTTTTTTTTTTCATTTTCTTTTTTTTTTAATTGTGAAAATACTGTACAGAGGGGTTACAATTACATGGGCAAGATAATGAGTACATTTCTTATCAAGCATTATAGCCTCCTCCTTTGCTCCTTTGTTTTCCCATCCCTTCCCATCCTCCCCCTGCTCCCCCAATCCTCCCGCCTCCCCCCCGCCCATGCACCAAAGTTGTAAAGTTCATTTTTGACATAACAACTTGTACATCTCATTGTTGTAATGGGTCCACCTGTATCCCTATTTAAACAATTTGTTTTTCCCCTCCCCCTCCACAAATTATACTGACATGAAAAACAGTGAAAGCAGGGGTTATACTGTGGGGGAGGGCCATACAAAGCAACAAAGAAATAATCTTATAAATGTGTTAGAAACAATCGCATGAAAGAAAAAAATTTGAATACATATCTTAGGGTTCATTTCCCTAACATCACCTTATCTGACCTTTTCTGCTTGACTCAGACATATACTAGATATTGCAAGTAAGGGATACCATGGGACATATGTTTCTTTGGGTGGCCTGGACAGTTATTCCTGGTACCAATGACATTTTTTTTGAATGTTCTGCTGTGAAGTTGTATCGGTTTTAAATTACATGTGCAAACCTGTTTTCCCTTAGGCCTTGTTATTGTTTGTGTTATTAATTTTCTTTTCTTTTCTTTCTTTTTTTTTTTGGTCCGGTCGTGGGCCTGAACTCTGGGCCTGGGCGCTGTCCCTCAGCTCTTCAGCTCGA